CAGCACGGGAACGACCACGACGGTGTATTCTAACTCTTGGTACTGTTAGAGGGCATCATCATGACGACCAGTGGCAAGCAAAAGATTATGAGGAAGATCAGGAAGACAATGATGAGTAGACATTGTATAATTATGATTAGACATTAGTAATTACATTATCTTTGACAATGACCATCATGAATAGACATTAGTAATTACATTATCTTTGAAAAACACTAAACATGCTCAAAACGAAATAGACTAATCATTAGAGTTAGACGGACAATTGCGCCTGTTGTGACCTTTTTGTTTGCATATGCTACATTTTGGTCATCGTTGTGAGCTTTCAACCCAATCCATTTCGTTTCTAATTCTTGTGGATTTTGGTCGCCCTTTGCCGCACACAGATGTTGGATCTGGGACAAGTATCCAATCCTCATTACTCGGAGGGATTAAGTCTTCATTTCCAATTGGTTCCCACGGACCATAGTACGCTTTTAAAACATAATCACTGGTATAAACAGGATCTATAAACTGGTAGTAATCAATGCTAACAACACCACATGCAGCTATAACATGAGAACAAGGATAATGAAATGCTGTAAACTTTCCGCATTGATAGTATCATTCCTTTAAATTTACTACCCATTTCTTCCCTCTTGTTTGTGTTATTGGATCAAATGCCTCTTCAACCTCAAATTTTGAAGATTGAATGTCATATCTACAAACTTGGTGGAAACAAGCCTCTTCTTGATTTTTTTGCAAAGCTTCAACCAACTTTGAAACGAAAACTTTCCTAGATGAAACATCGGCTAAAGCGCGACTACCACGATTACTAAAATACTCAGCGCACCTGGTATAAGTCGACCGAACTAATGCAGTGATAGGGAGATTTCTACAATCCTTTAAAACCTTGTTAACACATTCAGACAAATTTGTTGTCATGTGACCATATCTTCGACCATCTGCATCATATGCCATGCTCCATTTGTCTTTTGATATCCCTCCTATCCACCTTTCAACATCAGGGCTAGATTCACAAAACTTTGGCAAATTGCGATCAAAAATGTGTTTACACGGTGTATACCCTGCATACAAATTATAAATAATGCACAATAAAATTTTTGAAATGATTCAAAAATTTAAAATAACAATACGTACTTATCTTCAAAAGTTTTTGTTTTAGTTTCACATCCTTGAATCGATTATTAAAATTACTTGCAATGTGCCTAATGCAGTACTTGTGATATACATTTGGCGGTCTCCAACCAGGTACCTCATTGTCAATGGCCGATTTAATGCTACGATGTTAATCAGATATTAAACATATTCCTTGTTTATTTGTAACATGTAAACGCAAATGAGACAAGAACCACGACCACGCAAGTAATGTTTCTCCTTCAACCACAGCAAATGCAAGAGGAAGAACGTTGTTATTACCATCTTGTGTTGTAGCAATGAGCAATGTACCTCGGTACTTGCCATATAGATGAGTGCCATCAACTTGTATCAAGGGTTTACAAAAATTAAAGGCATCACAACACGGCTTGAATGTCCAAAATAATTTGTGAAATTGACGGTAACCACGATCACAACGATTACCAACAAAAAACTTATCATGACACAGATCATAAAATGACCCTGGAGCAATTTCTTTCATGTATTGGAGTCATCGAGGTAAATAAGCATACGATTCTTTCCAATCTCCAAAAATTTGAACAATTGCTTTTTGTTTGGCCATCCAAGCCTTTCTATAAGATATTTTAAACCCAGTTTGAGATGTTATTCTCTCTTGGATAAGGCTAATCTTGATTGCTGGATCTTGATTAACCATTCTTACATATTAAATATTAGTAATGAGTAAGATAAATTATTATTAATATAAACTATAAACTTTGCAGAACTTACCTTGTATAAATGATGCAATTAACTCAGAATCTAACTTATCATGATCTTGTGACAAAGACATGTTCAAACACGTATGATGTCCACCCCACTGAGTCACTTTTCACTTATCAGATTTCTTTGACTCAATGGCTCTCATGTACCATCCACATCCATCATGTGCATTTGGACATCTAACAACCCACTTGGTCTTTTTCGACTCAACCACATAAAAACTTTGATATATTCTCATTGCATTTTGCTTTACTGCATTTTTAACCACATCTTTATTCTCAAACTCCAACCCCACATATAAATCTTGGCCAATTGACCAAGTATTACGCAGATCCATCCCTGAGATATCTTCTTCATCTGGATGATTCTAATTGATGTTAGTGTAGTGGGGTAAATTACCCCAAAATTGACTTCCACCTATTTTAATAATAATGAATTTAGTAATTTCAATAAAATCAATTTCAACAATTTTTTTTAAACAAATAACAAATTATTGACAAATTTAATTTTCAGATGTTACCTTCAGTAGATGGATAAATTGAAATTGGTTCAACCATTGGACTATTAACAATAACATCCGGCTCCACCTCATTATCAGATGGTTCACAATCATCAATTTTCATCTTCATTGGATTCATCAATGCTTTCATATGATAATGAAACATGATAGTCTTCATCTGCTTCGTCATCTTCATCTTCGTCTCTTGTGATCAAAGGTGATTGTTCAATTGACAAATTTTCTAATGAAAAAGTTGAAGATTCTTGCATACCTATTTCAGCATATAATTCCATTATTGGCATCATATTCTGGCTCTGAAATGCTTCTATCATGCATTGTACATCATCATCGTCACTCAATTCCAATGAAGAATGTATGTTGTTATCATCTTGTGAAACTAAAAATCTGTAACTTACAGATAATATCACTTGATTTGACTTAAGACCAAATTTGTTGTGAATCCTTCTCTTTAATATATCCAAAGTTATACCTCGTTTAATATACATTCCTTTTCTTGGTCCATCAAATGTTACACCTTGAGAACCTTCATACATCTTTTCAGTGTAAATATAAGCAATAATTTGATCCATAATATCTGCAAAAAAATTTTTTAGTACAAATAGCTACAATTTATATTTTAACAACAACAAAATTTTACTCACAAATTTCAATCAGAGCAAAACGTAACTGGTAGGAGGAGTATATATATATGATTTCAAATGTGAACAAAACGTAAGTGGCTCGAGGGGTATATATATTGCAATAGTTGCTTTGGGCCATAGCGACATAGTGTCGCTATGGGCCATAGCAACATCATTTTTTTTTTTTTTATACTTATTTCTGTGTATGTTTTTTTTTCCAATTAATTCAAATAAATCTTAAAAACATGAAAATTTATTAAATATGAAACGCTGAAAAAATTAATGAAATATATATTATAAATAATTTATATAATATAAGTAAATAATTATTCTATAAAAAAAAAACATAAGGTCGCTATAGTCTATAGCGACATTATGTCGCTATAGGCCATAGCGTCACTCTCTTAACTATTTAAATACATAAAAAGAAAAAAAATAAAATGAACCATAAATATATAAAATAAAATTTATATTAAATAAATATATAAATAAACAAATTACAAAAAAATAAAATAAAATATAAATATTTATAAAATAAAAATAAAACAAAAAAGGTGTCGTATCCCAGAGCGACACTAATTTTAATTTTTTTATTTCTTTTTTTTAATTACTTATTTTTTGCCCAAATTTTTTTAAATTTACATATAAAAAAATTATTAATACACTTAAACAATAAATTTTCTTTAAACTACACAATTAATTATTTTTAATTAAATTTATTAACAAATTACTGAAAATATATATTTAATTATATTAAACAAAATACT